TTCACACACTAACCATACCAAAATCAAATGATTGGCCTATGACTCACAAAAACTTAAGTCTCACAGAGCAGGATAGGGTCACAGTTATATGCCCAGGGTACATATCCAAAAGATTTTTAAGTGTTCAATTACCTGAAGGTAGCAGCCTATAACCCAGGGTCTATGAATATCCAGCCTGTGCCCTGTACTGTACTACAAGTAATGGAATTTACAGTTAAAGTGTTACTAACCCAGGACCCTGCATTTCCTATATCTGATCTCCCACAGTACACAGAACATGGAAATGCAAGTATTTTAGTAAATATAAACTGCTAAATACCTTTTCTCATCAGCAGTATATAGCAGTCTTGTGACTTCTATCAGTGTCCAGCTGAGTACTGGTTAAAGCTGTGGAAGGAGTTTCCATTCTCCTCTGACTGTCCTATGAGGCTGCATAACCCCTGAACCTCTATCTGGACAGTGCTGATTGGCCCTGTGCTGATCACATGCACCTTCCCAAAGAAAAAAAAGTCTCTCTAGCAATACACACTAAACTGAGCATGTGCAGAGTGACTCCTAGAGCTCTGTACTATCAGCAGATGTTGGGGACAGTAGAAGAAGGGGAGGATCAAAGAAGACAGGATCAAACACCCTTTTTACACAATCCCTAAGGGGATTAACCCCTTAGGTTTCACAGTGAGTATAACAAGCATGATTTACTGCATATACAGACTGATTTTACTGTTGTGGGTTTAGTAACACTTTAGGTCCAAATTCCTTTTTTAACAGCTATAACAAGACTCTTTCAATGGTATATTTAACAGTAAAAGATAGCAAATAAGAGAAGTTCGTTGTTAGGATTTATACACACTTTAAAGAGTATGTAAACCCTCACCATGTAAAAGAACCCATTCAGCTTAAAATAGAAATGAAAGGCAAAACACTTATGTGTATATACAAAAAAAACCAATATAAATCCCTTTTTTCCCTTTTTTTAAGTGATCACATACCCTCTGTTCTTAGCTGCATAAGGAGCTAGGGAAAAGAAACAGCAGCACGGGGGGTGGGGGGGCATGTCAGCACAAGCCTGATCATTGGAGGAGAGCAACCTAAGTTCCCAGCATAGCTACAGAACTGACCACAATGCATTCACCTGCCTAGTGTGGTCGGTTTTTAATAGGAAAGCAGAGGGATTGGCAGGAACATCAGATATTTCACACAAAAAAAGCAATACAAAGAGGACAGGATACTTTTTCATACAAGTACATGGTAAAGTAGGCACATATTAGGAATATGAAATGATGAGTTTATATATTCTTTAAGGAGTCAATCACTTTTTCATAGCTGTAGTATGAGTACAAAATAGTTTCTTCAACTGTCCTGTAATAAAGAATAGGGTTTTAAGTTAATTATAGATAAGGGTGTTACATTAATTATACAGTTGTAGGATAAGAAAAAGGGCCATAACAAAGAATCTAAAAATCAGAAGCCTCATTCATTTCTTTTCCAACTATATTTTATATAGGGGCGTGTCAGAGAAGAGATTCTTTTACCACTTGAATGTGGCTTGTGCCAGTCATAAACGCAATACTGGCCATAACTTTTGATAGAAACAAGAAAAAAAAAAGAGTACTATAGAAGAAGTATTTTGGCAATGCTTTGTTAATTGGCAAGACTTTTAGGATGGTGCATGTGTAATCATCAATCACAGTCATGTGTTCATTGAAACTATGTTGTGTCAAAAATCTACCTAGACATTACATCATTTGGTTCTAACTTGTACCATGTATCATCTTTCCTGTAAGCTAGATAACTGTCTCTGGTTGGAAGTAGACTACTCATATCTTTCATCTTCCTCCATATACTGTAAATAATTTGGAATCACTCTTGCTAACAGTTTAGAGTTCTTATTTATCTTAACCATAGAAGTTAGCGCAATGGTAAGAAATAATTAGCGCCTGCCATTGGGCTGATGATTAATGGTGCTGTCAAGATAACTTCTAGCATATGCTGCAGATTCTTATTTCCTACAGCTGACAACAGAGGTTTGCAGTGAGTATCAGGATTGTGATAACTGATACAAGGATGCAAAAAGGCCTAGTGGGATAACACCCAAGAAATGTATTTGTGTGGTCAAAGCAGATGATTAAAGAAAAATCCTCAGTTTAAATACCTGTGGTTTTATACAAGATTTTAATCAATACAACCTTTCCGCTGTATTAAAACCTAATCCAGTCTTCTCTCTGTGTCATGTGACTACAGAACAAAGACAACTAGATGAATGCGGAAAATCTGCCAAATTAAATGTCTGCTCTTTTCACAAATGAGATGAAATATTTTTTGAGACTAAAACTAAAGCTGTAGGATAACAATTTATAGTTTTGGTTTACAGTATGTTGACATACATGCAGCTGCTCTAAACTTATAGGAGATTGATACTTGGATTAACAAAGGAATTTTGGAATAGAACACTATGTAGAATTCAGATTATGTGGTTGAAGAGCACATTCAGTATGGTTTTAATTAAAAAGATGTACAACTCCTAACAAACAGTTATATTCCTAACCTATAACATGCTAGCTTTCTATCATCCAAGTATAAGATTCTTAGCTGCCACCATAACATAAACTTTTGCTTTTTAATTGTGAAATTTATAGGCTGTGCAGCTGCTTCCAGGGCCATTAGAGTCCATTAAACATATAAGCTGCCTGGTCATAATGGGAAAGTTCTCTTCTTTTGAAGTATCTGTTATTCGTACGAAATTCAGTTATTCTGTACAAAGAGATAGTAAAAAGATCTACAGTTTATGAACTTGTATTTCACAGCATTGGAAGGAATTAGAGCAGAACTCTAGACTTGTATTTTTAATCTGCACTGTAAATAAAAGTGAGGTCACATTAGTTGTATGTCACTTAAGTTATTACTTTCTTTAATAACAACTGTCATTGAAGCCAGATAGTATAGCTATCACTGTACTTCTGACACTGTGACTGTGAGAACTGTGGCTCTCAAACTTAGAAGCTGCATTTTCATGTGTCTCTCCTCTTGCCCATTCACAGAGCATCTTGTATTCTGTAAACCATTCACAGACAATCAACATTGTGGCTTCTGTGCATTAGAGCTACAGCTCTCATACCCACATCAGGCTCGAAGTAAAGCAAGAACTATATTATCTGGCCTCAATGAACGTGTTTAAATAAAGTACAATAATACTTAAATTGACATACAAATGAAACTTAAATTTTTTACATTGCAGATTTTTATTAAAAATGCCTGAAATTCTGCTTTAAATACTTTTTGCATTTTCAGTTGGCAAAGGTGTAATAAAGGTTACAATATGCTACTATTTACTGGAAACACCATGACTGTTTATAGAGATAGGAGCCACCATTTAATATATACCATACTGACATATACTATAATTCTCGTCAACACCAAAGAGTTAGTCCAGACTTACTTTTCAACAAATGGAACTGTAATTTTATTAAATAAGTACACAATCACCTTATTGCTCTCATATGAGTATCCACTGTTTCCAGGGAATAATGTTTGTTTAGGCTAAGCACATATGCCCAACTCTGTCTTTACCTTTAGCAAGATGTAAAATATAGTCCTTCTCAAGGGAGGACTGACCATTCGGACACTTGGACACTGCCCGAGGGCCTGGGGTCAGTAAGGGGCCCCAAGAGATGCCCCTGGTACCTTTCATAGGCTTTTTTGGGTGTGGTTTGAGTGTGGGTGAGGACACAGGGGCCCCATGAGTTGTCAGTCCGCCCCTGGTCCTTCCTATCAATTATGTGTTTACCTAAAGCCATCTGCTACCTCCTTGTTTCTGTCTTGACAAAAGTAAACTTCCATCATAAGCTTGGGGTGTCTATTCATTGCGCAATTCATTAGCATTCACCTCTACGGTATGTTACTGAAAGTAGACACAGAACATTGAAGAAACACCAAATGAAATCAATCAGTTAACTAAACGAAGGCACCTACACAAAAAGGCATTAGTAATCTAAAAAACACAAAGTGCTAAATCAGCCTAAGCATTCTCCTGTAATGTATAATTAATCTGAAATCACCTATTTGCCCAATACCCTACAAAAGCCCATATTGCTCAGTTGACTATGTGTTGCAAAGCCCATGTTGTGACACATACATGTATGCCAGGCAGTTGGCAGTCAGCCACTAGAAGCAAGAAGTATATAGTGTTTTTTGGGGCACTGCTCTACTATGTAAGAGAAGAAGCTGTTCCAACAGAGAGTCTACCTTGCTATTTTACTGTGTTTTTAAGAAAGTTGGTCAAAACCAGAGAAGATGAGAGAATTTGTGTGAGAGCAGATTAGCCAACTAAAAATGAGAAGTGTTTGCTATAAATATGCAGACTGTATATGGCATCAAATTTAGAGCAAACTTGTGGTATAAAGGGTTTAAAAAGGATATGAAACTTCTATAACATGACATTGAAGGCACTTACAGATGACTGCATGCATGACTGTGGAGTACCCTGGAAGTCCCAAATGTGGATCAATAACCCAAAGTATTAGGTGCTCCCCAAGGAATTTATGGAAAGTTAATAATGATGTGAAGACATTCTGTAGCCCAGGCCTGCAGCCGCTTTAGGACCCAGGAGCTGGCCTGTACCCATCACAAATTGTTGGTGTACGCGGATGATCTCCTTGTTTTGTCTCTAATCTGGTGATACTTTTTTAAAAATATGGGGAAATATCCAATTTTAAGATACATTACTCTAAATCTGAGTCTGTAAAGGCTAAGTTCACTTTTTTTCTAAGTTCCAGCTCCCCTATGTACCAATTAGAGATGAGCGAAGTATTCAAAAATTCGATTCGACTGATTCGGCGAATTCGTGGAAAAATTTTGATTCGAGTCGAATATATTCGCTGCGAATTTAACTTATAAAAGGGGTGTTTCTAGGCTTCAGAGAGCCTTTATATTAGTGCAGAACACTGTACCTTTAATTTAAATGCCCTTGGAGTCTGCTGGGGAAGAGAAATAATACTGACAGTCAGTATGACATGCAGATGAGTGCCGTCGATCTTAGAATCACCGCACACTTCACTCATTTGGGCAGTCACGGGGCCCAAAACCAGAGTGTGGAGCCACAGTGTGGCGGTGGAGGCAGCAGCAATGGGAGGCCATACAGCACCCTATGACAAAAATGGAAACCACCAGCAGTGTGAGGAGACCTGAAAGTGGCACATGGCAGAGTGTGGCGATGGAGACAGCAGCAATGGGAGGCCGTACAGGGACCCATGACACACTCTGGACCTGGCAGCAGCATGAGGAGGCGGTACAGGGGCCCATGACAGATTACGAGCCTGGCAGCAGCAACTTGGACAGGAGGACGTTCAGCTTCTGCACCGTCGGGTGCGTGCTCGCAAACTGTTGTCTCTTGGAAACGTATTCCAAGAAAGACTGCTGACGGAATCCGTGAAGAGGAGTAGCAGGAGAAGGAGCATCTGAACGAGCGGAATATGCCAACAAGCGACAACAGGGGCCCATGACAGATTACGGGCCTGGCAGCAGCATGAGGAGTTGGTACGGGGGCCCATGGCAGATTACGGGCCTGGCAGCAGCAATGGGAGGCCCGTAATCTGCCAGCACCCTATGACAAAAAATGGAACACACCAGCAGTGTGTGAGGAGACCTGAAAGTGGCACATGGCAGAGTGTGGCGATGGAGACAGCAGCAATGGGAGGCCGTACAGGGACCCATGAGACACTCTGGACCTGGCAGCAGCATGAGGAGGCGGTACAGGGGCCCATGGCAGATTACGGGCCTGGCAGCAGCAATGGGAGGCCCGTAATCTGCCAGCACCCTATGACAAAAAATGGAACACAACAGCAGTGTGAGGAGACCTGAAAGTGGCACATGGCATGAGACACTGTGGACCTGGCAGCAGCATGAGGAGGAGGCGGTACAGGGGCCCATGGCAGATTAGGGGCCTGGCAGCAGCTATGGGAGGCCCGTAATCTGCCAGCACCCTATGACAAAAAATGGAACACACCAGCAGTGTGTGAGGAGACCTGAAAGTGGCACATGGCAGAGTGGCAGAGTGGCGATGGAGACAGCAGCAATGGGAGGCCGTACAGGGACCCATGACACACTCTGGACCTGGCAGCAGCATGAGGAGGCGGTACAGGGGCCCATGGCAGATTACGGGCCTGGCAGCAGCAATGGGAGGCCCGTAATCTGCCAGCACCCTATGACAAAAAATGGAACACACCAGCAGTGTGAGGAGACCTGAAAGTGGCACATGTTTTGGGGCATGATTCATGGCGGATTTAGTCAGTTGTGTCAGGAACTGGTGGTTTGAAATCCAGACTAATCCACGCCTGATTCATTTTCACAAACGTGAGTCTCTCCACACTTTGGGTGGACAGTCGTGTCCTCCGCGGAGTTACAATACCTCCTGCCGCACTAAACACGCGCTCCGATGCCATGCTACTGGCCGGGCATGACAGCCTTTCAAGGGCAAATTCAGCTAGTTGGGGCCAAAGGTCAAGTTTCATTGCCCAGTAGTCAAGGGGATTGTCTACCTCGGTTGGCAGGGTGCTGTCCAAGTAGGCCTAAGCCTGTTGTTTGAGGTCCTGCTCCAGGTCCACCTGATGCTGCTGCTGCTGCTGCGGCTGGTTAGTAGTTTCCTCACTGCGCTGGTGAAGAAAGCTACTCATCATCGACTGCAGACTGAGGCAGCCGCTGCTGGTGGAGCTGCCACTGCTCCTACCACCCCACCCCTCCCCTGCTGCCATGGCAGCGCAGAACGCGAGCGCACAGGGCCCACAGTGTCTGAGGATGGACGTTGGCGCAGAAAGGCAGAGACCAGCTGACTACATAGGTGGTTTTTATAGTACGTTATTTTGGCCTCCCTCTCAGCAGGTGTGAAAAAGGCCACCATTTTTGAACGGTAGCGAGGGTCCAACAAGGTGGACAGCCAAAAGTCATCCCTCTGTCTGATGGTTATTATTCGGCTGTCGCTACGCAAGCAAGCGAGCATGCTATGGGCCATTTGTGCCAAGGAATGCGAGGGACTCCCTGCCTCCATCTCCACAGCATACTGCCACGGTGCGTCTGGGTCCTCTGTCTGTCTCCTCCTCCTCCTCCTCTACCAGATGCTCCTGCTCCTCCACTCCTGTCCGCTGAGTGGAAAAACCACCCATTTCACTCAATAATTCCTGAGCACCAATGTCCTCCTCTACCTCCTCCTCTTCTTCCTGTCCTGCCCCCACAGGGGTCATGTGGCGTTGAGATCTGTGCGCCACGTCTACCGCACCCTGACCAGCCATTGTTAACAGCATTTGTTCCAGGACGTGCAACAGAGGAATGACGTCGTTCATCCCATAGTCCTGCCGACTCACGAATAGCGTGGCCTCCTCAAAGGGCCTGAGCAAGCGCAGGTGTCACGCATGAGCTGCCAATGGCTGACATCTAAGTTACACAGGGAGTACCTTTATCCGCTTGTAACATCAGGAAATCTGTGATGGCCTTTCGCTGTTCGTAAAGGCGGTCTAACATATGTAGGGTTGAATTCCACCTTGTTGCAACGTCACAGCATGAGGAGTCGGTACGGGGGCCCATGGCAGATTACGGGCCTGGCAGCAGCAATGGGAGGCCCGTAATCTGCCAGCACCCTATGACAAAAAATGTAACACACCAGCAGTGTGTGAGGAGACCTGAAAGTGGCACATGGCAGAGTGTGGCGATGGGAGACAGCAGCAATGGGAGGCCGTACAGGGACCCATGAGAGACTCTGGACCTGGCAGCAGCATGAGGAGGAGGCGGTATAGGGGCCCATGGCAGATTAGGGGCCTGGCAGCAGCTATGGGAGGCCCGTAATCTGCCAGCACCCTATGACAAAAAAAAAATGGAACACACCAGCAGTGTGAGGAGACCTGAAAGTGGCACATGGCATGAGAGACTGTGGACCTGGCAGCAGCATGAGGAGGCGGTAAAGGGGCCCATGGCAGATTAGGGGCCTGGCAGCAGCTATGGGAGGCCCGTAATCTGCCAGCACCCTATGTCAAAAAATGGAACACACCAGCAGTGTGAGGAGACCTGAAAGTGGTGGCACATGCAAAGTGTGGCGATGGAGACAGGCAATGGGAGGCCGTACAGGGACCCTGTGGACTCTGGGACCTGGCAGCAGCATGAGGAGGCGGTACAGGGGCCCATGGCAGATTAGGGGCCTGGCAGCAGCTATGGGAGGCCCGTAATCTGCCAGCACCCTATGACAAAAAATGAACACACCAGCAGTGTGTGAGGAGACCTGAAAGTGGCACATGGCAGAGTGTGGCGATGGAGACAGCAGCAATGGGAGGCCGTACAGGGACCCCATGAGAGACTCTGGACCTGGCAGCAGCATGAGGAGGAGGCGGTATAGGGGCCCATGGCAGATTAGGGGCCTGGCAGCAGCTATGGGAGGCCCGTAATCTGCCAGCACCCTATGACAAAAAATGGAACACACCAGCAGTGTGAGGAGACCTGAAAGTGGCACATGGCATGGAGAGACAGGCACCTGGGAGGCAGTACAGGGCATGAGGACCTGGGCAGCATGAGGAGGCGGTATAGGGGCCCATGGCAGATTAGGGGCCTGGCAGCAGCTATGGGAGGCCCGTAATCTGCCAGCACCCTATGTCAAAAAAATGGAACACACCAGCAGTGTGTGAGGAGACCTGAAAGTGGCACATGGCAGAGTGTGGCGATGGAGAGACAGCAGCAATGGGAGGCCGTACAGGGACCCATGAGAGACTCTGGACCTTGGCAGCAGCATGAGGAGGGGTACAGGGGCCCATGGCAGATTAGGGGCCTGGCAGCAGCTATGGGAGGCCCGTAATCTGCCAGCACCCTATGACAAAAAAATGGAACACACCAGCAGTGTGAGGAGACCTGAAAGTGGCACATGGCATGAGACACTGTGCGATGGGCAGCAGCATGAGGAGGCGGTACAGGGACCCATGGCAGATTAGGGGCCTGGCAGCAGCTAGGAGGCGGTATAGGGGCCCATGGCCGATTAATCTGCCAGCACCCTATGCCCGTAATCTGCCAGCACCCTATGACAAAAAATGGAACACACCAGCAGTGTGAGGAGACCTGAAAGTGGCACATGGCAGAGTGTGGCGATGGAGACAGCAGCAATGGGAGGCCGTACAGGGACCCATGAGAGACTCTGGACCTGGCAGCAGCATGAGGAGGCGGTATAGGGGGCCCATGGCAGATTAGGGGCCTGGCAGCAGCTATGGGAGGCCCGTAATCTGCCAGCACCCTATGACAAAAAATGGAACACACCAGCAGTGTGAGGAGACCTGAAAGTGGCACATGGCAGAGTGTGGCGATGGAGACAGCAGCAATGGGAGGCCGTACAGGGACCCATGAAGACTCTGGACTGGACCTGCAGCAGCAGCAGCATGAGGAGGCGGTATAGGGGCCCATGGCAGATTAGGGGCCTGGCAGCAGCTATGGGAGGCCCGTAATCTGCCAGCACCCTATGACAAAAAATGGAACACACCAGCAGTGTGAGGAGACCTGAAAGTGGCACATGGCAGAGTGTGGCGATGGAGACAGCAGCAATGGGAGGCCGTACAGGGACCCATGAGAGACTCTGGACTTGGCAGCAGCATGAGGAGGCGGTATAGGGGCCCATGGCAGATTAGGGGCCTGGCAGCAGCAGCAGCTATGGAGGCCCGTAATCTGCAGCACCCACCCTATGACAAAAAATGGAACACACCAGCAGTGTGAGGAGACCTGAAAAGTGGCACATGGCCATGAGAGACTGTGGACCTGGCAGCAGCATGAGGAGGCGGTACAGGGGCCCATGGCAGATTAGGGGCCTGGCAGCAGCTATGGGAGGCCCGTAATCTGCCAGCACCCTATGTCAAAAAATGGAACACACCAGCAGTGTGTGAGGAGACCTGAAAGTGGCACATGGCAGAGAGTGTGGCGATGGAGACAGCAGCAATGGGAGGCCGTACAGGGACCCATGAGAGACTCTGGACCTGGCAGCAGCATGAGGAGGCGGTATAGGGGCCCATGGCAGATTAGGGGCCTGGCAGCAGCTATGGGAGGCCCGTAATCTGCCAGCACCCTATGACAAAAAATGGAACACACCAGCAGTGTGAGGAGACCTGAAAGTGGCACATGGCATGAGACACTGTGGACCTGGCAGCAGCATGAGGAGGCGGTACAGGGGCCCATGGCAGATTAGGGGCCTGGCAGCAGCTATGGGAGGCCCGTAATCTGCCAGCACCCTATGACAAAAAATGGAACACACCAGCAGAGTGTGAGGAGAGTCCTGAAAGTGGCACATGCAGAGTGTGGCGATGGAGACAGCAGCAATGGGAGGCCGTACAGGGACCCATGAGAGACTCTGTGGACCTGGCAGCAGCATGAGGAGGCGGTACAGGGGCCCATGGCAGATTAGGGGCCTGGCAGCAGCTATGGGAGGCCCGTAATCTGCCAGCACCCTATGTGACAAAAAATGGAACACACCAGCAGTGTGAGGAGACCTGAAAGTGGCACATGGCAGAGTGTGGCGATGGAGACAGCAGCAATGGGAGGCCGTACAGGGACCCATGAGAGACTCTGGACCTGGCAGCAGCATGAGAGGGGTATATAGGGGCCCATGGCAGATTAGGGGCCTGGCAGCAGCTATGGGAGGCCCGTAATCTGCCAGCACCCTATGACAAAAAATGGAACACACCAGCAGTGTGTGAGGAGACCTGAAAGTGGCACATGGCAGAGTGTGGCGATGGAGACAGCAGCATGCAATGGGAGGCCGTACAGGGACCCATGAGAGACTCTGGACCTGGCAGCAGCATGAGGAGGCGGGTATAGGGGCCCATGGCAGATTAGGGGCCTGGCAGCAGCTATGGGAG